GTCTCATCATTCCTCTAGAGTAGGGGGACGAAAGATCACTCACCACCTCTCACGTTGCTGCATTTTGCAAATATGTCTCGAACCGACATCCTGTCCCCTCTCATCTTGAACTCGCGGGGCCACGTGCCCGGGCCCAGCTCGATGGCAGCGGCAACAAACCGAGCCACGTCGGCAACGGAGGTCATGCAGACCTGCACAGGCCGTCCAGAGCCGTTCGTCTCAACAATATCCGCGGACGCGTTCCCGACATCGACAAGGTAGACCCCCTGACTCCCAATCGTAGCGCGGGCTCCCATGCCATACTCTGCCAGCCCGCCCGGCGCAAAGCGCTCGTACAGGACGCCGCAGGAGAAGACCGTGTACTCCATCTTGCGAGACTTTGAACTGGCGCAGTGTTTTAGCAGCTCGATGGCTTCGGAGGAGCCGTAGTCGAGGGGGTCTTGGCCGGACGATGGGCGGTGGGATATCGAGCCTTCGAACTCTGCGGGGACGAAGAGGCGGACGCGGGCGTGGCGCGCGGCGTGGATGACGTTGATTTGTTCTTGGCCGCGTATCGTTGATATGACGAGGTCGATGCCCTTGAGGGCGAAACGAAGCCTTTCAGCGTCGTCGTAGTCTACTACCGCGACTTGACAGTCGTAGCGTTCCTCCAGCTCTGGTTTTGACTGTGAACTTCGCGTTAGTGACCTGGTATGCTCATATTTTCCTCATTACCTACTTCTCTTGACAGAATGATTACGGGGTTCGCTGTTTGCGTGATGTGATGGGCTAGGATAGCTGCGAAGCCTCCACCACCCACGATAGCTATTCTCATCATGACTGTGGTATGTAGCGTGTGAAACAGATCGAGACTGATGAGAGTTAATCTTCAGGATTCGGATCTGTTCAGGTTTTGTAATTTAGTTTTCAGCACTATTAAGTTTCAGAATTGAACTTGCCTCAAAGATGTTCATTCTTGTAATGAGATTGCCATGGTAAACGACGGAGAGTGCCGATGTACAGACCACACCACTAGAGCATGTGCGAAGTGACTCAAAGACGTTATTGGGATACGACTGGCTGTTTCGATACAAGGCAACAACAAGAAAAGGTCCATACGAGCATATCCGTAGCCAATCCTGCGTCCAAAGCCGAAGCTCTAGCGACTAGAGGTCAACTTCGAATTCGATAGGGTTCGATAGTTGACGTGGACAGGAGACGACTCTCGTCTCGACGTTGTAAGCCAAGAGAACAGAGAGACGCCTTGAAGTGACTTTGAGAAGGTGGTGGGGTCCGAGTTTGCGTTCAAGTTCACAACGACATCGTAATCGAGGGTGACGCCTGCTGACTTGCAGACCGGTGAGGGCAGCGGACAGAGGATAGCTGGACTAGCGGAAAACAATCGACTCCTACGGAGACGGAAATCGACTTTCCAAAGGCGGCCTTCACAGGGTGTACCTAATGCCAATACTGTCAACAGGACGTTGAGGGTGCCGTTTAGTATGCACCGCAGGTACCTGACTGCGTGGGGAAAAGGCGCAGTGCCTTGAGCCGATGTCCCAGATGACCGGGTTGCAGGACGGCTAATTTCATCCCGCTGCGGCACGGCTGCGGGTATCAGAGACACCTCGTATCTTGCTTCAGATCTTGATACGAATAGCGATTTCTGTGCCTGAATCTTGTTGTTTTCGTTGGTTACATGAAAGTACGAGCTCACGTTGACTAAAGAGAGAGAGAGATGGACGAGACCCAGACTCAATGGAACAGATGTTGATGATTTTGGTTCGCGTACAACAGGAAACGAGTACTTTGCGTCAGAAGATTGAAGTTCAAGGCGGCGAACATAGTCCCGTAGTTTGCAGAGATATCATTGTTTCCCGCGGTGATATGGGTGGGGGGTCGGAGCCAAGCATGTGAGCAGGAAACGACGGTCTCCAGGTTGAACTCGACACCCGAGGCAGATGACCGAGTCCGCCTGCATGTTCGATATGCTGCCTCAATGGATGATTGAAATGCGCCTTACGAGCTGGTGTGGTGTGAGAATCTCCGCCTTGGACTTTCCGCTATCGAATGGGAGGTTCCAGCCCGGGCTTCACGGGGAAATACCTCCACCTCACCGAGCCTCATCCGGGGGGATGAAACAAGGTCAGCGCTGTGAAATAATCAGGATTGTAGAGTAATGTAACGGCAGCTAGCGTAGCAGTGCCGTAGCTGTGCAGATGATTGGGAACCTGGCAACCTCGAGTCGAAAGAGATTCGAGTCGAGATGGACGACGTGCCACTCAAGGGTGCCATTGGCGCACACCCCTGCCCGGGAGAACAGGCTACCCTGCGCAAGACTCAGCCACGAGACCTGGGTGCCTAAGTCGTAGCATTGAATGACAATTGAAAGTACTTGAGCAAACACCTGCAATCGAGAAGAGTATCTGGTGGCATGGCGACCCAGAAGTAGGTACTTTGATGAGGGAGGGGAGTTGAGAGATCGAGGTGGGGTCCGTTTCGGTACGTAGTCTCATCCAATCGTTCAGCCCTATGCATATGTGCCTCAGGATATTCCTCGGGGATCGCACGCTCCAGTCGCACGAACAGTCAGGGGGACCCCCGACGAAGCCGTCTTCCTCCGGGCATCATCAACCAGGAACCAGTTATGTATGTTCATCAATCACCCGGCAGGAACCGGACTGGCCCAGCCGCCTCGTAATTACTCATTGCGTACTTATCTTGGCATGTCAAGACAGCAATGCCTATACGCCTAGTCATGCCCCTCGGCAAGTCAACTTGAGTAAGGACGTTGACGGCATTTCATCTGGGCAGACTGATCTGAGAACTACTACACCTTATCCCGCCATTGGACTGAACCCTGAAGTGGCGAAAACGTCTCATGAGGGCCAATGTTCTAGCCGATGGTACATATGGTTCGCCTGTAACTGACACTTTATGATGTGACCCTGCCAGTAAATTTGTTGTTATTCTAGTAGGTTGTGCGACCTGAAATTAGTCACCAGATTCCATCGCTTAGCAATATGACATTCTGCAAATTCACAAAGAAGGTTAAATGCGGTAGATGAGGACCATTAACTTGATATGACGTGGTTATTGCCTTCCTAAGCAAGACTAAATCTTTCGCCCTGAAGAAAAACCTTGGGATAGCGAGCTAATTCGTCACTCAGTGTGCGTTGACGTTTACGCAATCCCTTCGTATAGAGCATTTACTATCTTTAGATGGATATTTTGCTGGAATTGGTTTATGTTAACGAAACGGCTGGGTTTCTATGATGCGCTACGTAATGCCGATACGATGGCTAGGAAAGCAAGAGAAAGGTGGATTGAATCTATCATTGCGTTTCTAGGTGATCAATTGCTTAGGACACGCCTCGCCGTGGATTGCTTGATACAACCGGTCCAGCTCTGAGTCCCGCATGCGTCACGAGGTGCTCGAATACTAGAAGTAGAACAATTCATTCACGGAAAGCCTAGGCCTAGGTGCAAAGAACCCCCTTTACTAGAGCTCACTGGCTCGTTGACTCTTGTCCATGATCGTGACCACGACGAAGTCGCATCCGCGTCCACCAATGAGAGCAAGAGGCTGCTATTTCTCGAATTGCTCCCGTGATTCACATATGCATGGGCTTCTTTCGCGTGTGGGGGTTCTAGGCAGGATATTTCAGGCAGAAAGCTAACCCAAGCCATTGAGGTCAATACCTGTAAGGTACGATGAAGGCGGTCCTTGACATGGCAATCTGCGATGTCGAAAGTGAATCATCCGCGACAGCGCAGACGCGCCCTTCGTGCATTGCTTGCCTGCCAATTATGGCAAACGAGTGTGCCTGGGGGAAGAATTGGATGCGACTCGTTCTTGATTGGAGCGCGGAGCTCAGACCACAGGGGGTCTCGGTGAGTTCGGTGAAAGGCCACTTCCCGCCCAGCCCCGCCCTCCTCACCTTTCGGATAAGATAATGATCCGTTGCCCTAGAATTTCGCTGCCACTTTTTCCTACACCCACAACTGAAATCCACTTTTGGGCTGGGAAAAAGTTTCGTGAAGTGTCAAGCCCCATCTCAATCTGTCAATTCTCCCCTCCCCTCACCACAACCACTTCAACCAAACGCAGGATCAAACTTCTTTGCGTCCATCACATCCGTCCAAAATGGCTCCTCAAGCAGTACGTACATGACAACACCGCTTTGCTGTTGGCCCAGCCCAATTTCCTCTTCTCCTCTGGAAAATGAGAGGAAATTGGGCGGCGGCGTGAAACAGTAGGCTAACGTCATGTTCCCCAAATTCTAGGCGATCAAGCGCACCGGCAAGGGCAAGAACCAGAAGGTTACCAAGAAGTTCATCATCAACGCTTCCCAGCCCGCCTCCGACAAGATCTTCGACGTCGCTGCCTTCGAGAAGTTCCTCCAGGACAAGATCAAGGTTGAGGGTCGCGTCGGCAACCTCGGCGACCAGGTTCAGATCTCCCAGCAGGGTGAGGGCAAGATTGAGATCATTGCCCACAACGAGCTCTCCGGCCGTTACCTCAAGTACCTGTAGGTTTTCTTCTTGATCTTGTGTCGCGCTGGCGACAATTTGTATCATGTAAGGACAACTTGCTGACATTATTGTTCCACCCCACAGCACCAAGAAGTTCCTCAAGAAGCAGCAGCTCCGTGACTGGCTCCGTGTCGTCTCCACCTCCAAGGGTGTTTACGAGCTCAAGTTCTTCAACGTCGTTAACGACGAGGCTGATGAGGACGACGAGTAAACAGCTTCTATGCACTAGTCAGGTTAAGGTTACTTGGGTCGGCATGGCACTGGAATTTTGGCAAGGTTAAAAGGGAATACCAAAAGTTAGCACCTTCGTGTGCTTGTTGATCTGCCACATGTGGTTCTCCTTTCTTCGTGAATGATTGCGATGTTATGCTTTGAGGTGCGATTCTGATTCCGATCCTGGGTATCCTGCTGTCTATCTATGGTTATCGGTGCCCCTCGTACAAATGTCTCGTCTATACCTTACGGCAATGTAATCACCCACACATCTACTCTGGCAGAGCCCGCATAACGCCCTCGAATGCAACCAACGCCATGGCATTAGCCGGGAACGCCCTCAAGAAACACGGCAAGAACCCACGCCAGTATCCCTTCCACCCCGTCTCCCTATACACCGCCGTCGCAGCGTCCTTCCACCTCCTGAACTTTGGCGTGCCGTCGTTGAGCCCGCCACCAAGGGGATCCGTCATGATGCGCTGCTTGATCACGTCCGACGGGTAACTCGTCAACCAGAAAATCTGCGCGCTCAGCCCGCCCGCCCAGAAATTCACCGCCGGTGCACTGAGGTTCGTGTTCTTCTTAAAGTACTTTGAAAACACATCATAGCTGCCCCACCAGCAGAAGAAAAACCCGCGAAACAGCAACGTCGCGCTGAGGCCGTGATACACGCCCCGGACGCCGTGGTTCGCGTAGATCTTGCGCAGGCAGTCGACGGGCCCGCTGTACAGCCGCTCGGCTTTGTTGGCGGCGTACTGGATCTGCAGGCGCGCCTTCACGTGCTCGACGGGCGCGGCGATGAAGCTGACGGTGCTGCCCGCCATGATGCCCGCGATACCGTGGCCGTATGACGGTAAGTTGTCGACGGCGCCGACGCGGAAGAGGCGCTCGGCGACGAGGCGGCGGTAGACCGTCAGCGAGCCCAGCATGACCGAGTCCATGAACATCCAGCCCACCAGCGGAGGGGTCGCGCCCTTGTAGAGGCCCGGGATGCCCTCGTTCCGTAGCGTTTGGCCTACGCATTGGAGGGGGCCGCTGAAGCGCGAGGCGTCTGTTGTTTGGAGGCGGACTTTGATTGTGTCGAAGGGGTGGCCGACTTCGCAGTTTCAGTACGGTATTCAAATCTCAGAATGCAGAGTGACTAACCAGTGAGCTTGGCGATTCCTGAAAATACTCCGGCGACAAAGCCTTTGTAGTTTTTTACGGCTGTCTTGGGCTCTTCCCTCACGTCTGCCACCATGATGTTTGAGCGAGGGGGACTCGTGGTCGTTGTGAGATTGCGCGCGGCCGCCATCGCCTTTAATTGAACCCCAAGAACTGGCAGTCGGTGTTCACGTCTGTTGCGGTCGTCGGGGCCAAAAAGAGGCCTTGGTTAAAAGAGAGGTGTTCTATCTCTCCTTCTATCGCGACGTGTCGGGCCTTATACACAATCCATCCCACGAAGAAGTTAAGTTGCGAAGTGAAGCGAAGCGACTGTTCGTGTCTCGCTCTTCATGAATCATGAAGCTCGTCGATTCTCGCTAAGCAGAAAAGGAGCCGATTCCGGGGGACGTGGGGGAGCTACTAATCGCATCGAAGCTCGCGCTGATTGGTCAGCTAAAGTGCATGGCGCACCCCCTGGCATCAGGTTTCCTCGTACGGATAGAGGGGACTCAGTCTCCATCATTCCTTCACGGGGTTATCGAGGAACGAAGCCCGAAGTTTTCACGTTGTGGCTTCAGCCTTCTCGTCAGAATAGGAAACGGTAATTACGGATGATTCGGTGCTGATTACTGTCAAGATTGTATACTGTGGTTTCGATCTTGTCACTATGAGTTGGTCGCATCAATATCACAGCTCGTAGCAGTTGCCATCCCCACCAACATCGACAGCTTACAGTGAAAATGGACATTTATGGCTAGCTTAGATATAGTGTATAAAACCCGGCCGTTCATTGCGAGTGAGTGGTGCATTGCAGTAGCTGAAGTATTTATATAGGTAACATTGCTTTTCCTTGTGGAAACTGCAACTACCTTACGATCTATCAGCACAGTGAGCTCTCTCTCTGTTCTGAAACTTGCGAATCGATGCGGTCTTTGCTTAGTAAAAAGCTCCTTGCAGGCATTGGAAGCACCATCATCGCAAAATATCGAAACCGAGGAAGGTTGTAACTGTCCAACTTGTATCACATGCACTGATAGTGATCCAGAATTCTTCGACGCTCTGCTACCGTATTGGCACGCGCTTAGAACTTTCATCACACCTTAGATGAGGTTTTCAGCATTATATTTTAGTTGAAGAAATTTGAGGGCAGATAACTATCGTATAATCTGTGCGCCTAAGGAGCTGTGTAAGTATGTACATGGCTATGGTGGGTGATGTAATTTGGCAGCTAACTGCCTGCCCTCAAGGAATTAGACAGGGATCCAGAGCTTCCTCACTCCAACCCCCCGAGCTCCCAGCGCTGACGTCACGTGGAGTTCACCTTCACCCGAACACCTGCGCATCCCACCACCAGACGGGACAGGGCATTCTGGTGAACCGTTTCTGCAACACCACGCTCCGAGTTTGCCCAAAACTCGCAAACCTCCCATAATCACGACGCAGCCCGAATAATCGACCACCATGAAAGCGATTTACGCCTTCCCGGCGACACTCGCCCTCGTCTACCGAGCTTGGTCGCACCAATCCCTGACCCCCGCAGGCATTGTCGCCGCCGTTGTTACAGCTATCGCCCACGCGTACCACCCGTGGAACCTGCCATTCGCGCTGCTTTGCACTTTCTTCCTCGCTGGAACAAGAGCAACAAAGGTACGGCTAGCTCCCTTGTTGCAACGAAACGCCAAATGCTAAATCTACTCCAGGTCAAACACGATGTCAAGGCACAAATGACGATGGCCTCGCGCGGCACATCAGGAGGCGAAGGAGCACGCACCCACGTCCAAGGTCGGTTCAATAGTAGCTCCTCCGAGCTCTTCAGCGCGGTATAGCTAACTTCTCTCCGCTTTGATAGTCTTCGCCAACTCGCTCATGGCCTCATGTCTCTCCCTCCTGCACGCCTACCAACTTAACAAGCGCAAGGACGCAATCCTCGACACCACGACACCGAACCCCTCGGGCACACTCTGCTTCTCCTGGGGCGGCGACCTCCTCGTGATCGGCATCATCGCAAACTACGCCGCTGTCGCCGCCGACACCTTCAGCTCCGAGCTAGGAATCCTGGCCAAGGGCGAGCCCCGCCTCATCACGTCCCCGACCCTGCGCAAGGTCCCGCGCGGCACAAACGGAGGCGTGACGCCCCTCGGCGTCGCTGCCGGCGCCCTCGGCTCCATGATAATCGTCACGGCCTCCATGGTCTTCCTCCCCCTTTGCGGTGACGACAGCGCCGGCAAAGTCGGCGGCGGCCTCGGCGCCTGGACCACGCAGCAGCGCTCGACCTTTATGCTGGGCATGACCCTATGGGGTGTCCTGGGAAGTCTGCTCGACAGCGTGCTAGGCGCCGTCTTTCAACGCTCCGTGCGAGATGTGCGGACCGGCAAGATCGTCGAGGGCGAGGGCGGCGCAAAGGTTCTCATCGCCAGCGATCCGGCCGACCACGCCGACAAGAACCAGAAGCGCGCCACCGTCAAGGCCGCGGCGCTCCACGGGGAGGGCAAGAGCGCTGTTGAGAAGATGGCGGAGAACGCTGACGTCAACGCTCTCGAGACGAGCGATGCGAAGAAGAGGTATGCTCCCGAGGAGAAGCATCGCAAGCCTACCGTGGGCGACGCCAAACCCTCGCGGGTTGTGGAGACTGGGTGGGACTTGCTGGATAACAATGACGTGAACTTCCTGATGGCGTTCACCATGAGCATCGGCGCCATGGGCGTGGCGAGCTGGTACTGGGGTATTCCTATCGAGACGATACTCGACCTGTAGGCTAGTAATACTATTGACACGTTCTGCACATCATCTCGAAGAAGTTCGAATGCGCCATGTAAGTGAATGCATCACAGTACCATCCAAATTATCCTTCCCTTGCCCCGTACCTCTTCTGGACGTCGTGATGTGCCTCAAACTACCGTTCTATACTCGATGTCAGCCTCCTGCGTTGTGACGGGTACATGGTACGCGTAACTCCTGACAACATGGCGTTTAAGGCATGGTTAACATTAGCGTCTGTACCCAGTTACTGTTCTCAATACAACACTTCTACACACCTCTCTCGTGATACTAGTATCTCAAACTTAATTTTCACGCGCAAGGGACTCGGCCGGTACGTGCGTCGCATCTGAGTGCCGACTATCAAAAACAAAGCAATCATAAACATGTTGAATTCTCAGTAGGGTAGAGGGCAAAAAAGAGGTCATCGATAGGGAATCGAACCAAAAAGCGAAGCCTCTGGTTGAAGGGTGGTCGAGGAAGAACGGGTTCCACTGGCGCCCCCTTAGCCCCTCGGCCACCTGCCCCTTTCACTTCAGGTTGTGTTCAGATGAGGAGAGAAGTGACCTGAATATCATCCGCCTCCTCTTCTTCCAGGTAGATTGGATGAGCGGTGGGTCATTGACCGTATATGCTGGCACGAATATGATGGGAAGATAGTATTATACTAACCGAATAACCAAGCGGTCAGTTCACCTTGGGGCAGAAAGAAAAAAGGTCAGCAGTGGAGAGTCGAACCAAAAGTGTAGCGAAGGTTGAAGGGTGATCTCGAAAGAACGGATTCCACTGGCGCCTCCTTGACCCCTCGACCACCTGCCCCTGCCACTTCTCATTATGACAGAGATGAAAGAGAAGTGACCCAAGTACCATCCCCGCACCTTCCTGCCAGATCTATAGGGATGCTAGCTCATTGACCGCGTACTGACATGAATACCGACCTTGATATCATCTCATATAACCAGCAAAAGAGGTTACCTTCACTCCCTCGCCCACGCCTTAGCAATATCCCCCAAAACCCTCGTCACAACCTCAAAATCCCTCTCAACATCAACCCTCCAACTGCCAACAGCAACCCTTACAGCCTTCCTCCCCTTCCAACTCGTCCCGCTAACATACACCTCCCTCGTGCCATTGATCCTCCCCACAAGCTCCTCATTCAATCCCTCATCTCTCGCGCGAAACAGCACAACCATATGCGTCATCCCCTCGATATCCCATGCCCCCTCGGGAAGCAGCTCATACGCCTTCGAAGCTCGTATCCACACCGCCAACTTCCGCGCAAGCACAACCATGCGGCCCAGGATCGCCGCCAGCCCTCTCCGCCCTTCGGACCGGAGGACGGCGTAGGCCGGTAACGCCCGGAAGCGGCGTGAGTTCTCGAGGCCGATGTTCAAGGGTGAGGGGATGGCGGAGGCGCCGGCCGAGGAGAGGTAGGCTGCGTTTGGGTTCGTGAAGACGGCTGTTTGGGTTGCGAGGGAGCGGCAGAAGAACATACCGCAGTCGTAGGGCTGTTCCCGCCAAACGTTAGTCTACTTCATACGGCAGAGAAGGAGGACGGGAGGGAGAGGGTAAAAGGGGGTTTTGATGCGAACGTACCACGTTCAGAAGCTTGTGTCCGTCCACGGTGATGCTGTCCGCGAGTTCCAGCCCCGAAGCCATCTCTCGAATCTTTGCAAACTCGGGCTTCGCCTCGAGAGCCCTCGCAAAGATACCAAAAGCTGTCACACCAACCATCGTCAGCAAAAATCTCACCACCTTCTCACCACAAACCAACACAAAGAAAAAAGACAGCAACGGAAAAAGCTCACCACCATCGACATGAATCCACGCCCCAAACCGATCAGCCAACCCCCTCAACCTCTCCATCTCCCCCTTTCCCCCCGTCGCAAACCTTCCCGTATTCACCTCGCCCGCGCTCACCGCAATGATACTCACCACCCCATCCTCCTCTCCCTCCCGCAACACCCTCTCCACACCCTCCAAATCCAACCTCCACGGTTCGTCAGCACTCAGCGGCAACTCTGCAACATTGGCTCTCCCGACGCCCACCACGCTCGCCGCTTTGGAAAGCGAACTGTGCCCCATGCTCGTCAACACCCTCACCCCCTTCACCCCGGCACTCACACACGCGCCCAACAGCCCTTGCTCTCCTACATTCCCGCCCCGTTTCGCAATCACATATTCCCTCCCGCACGCGAGGCCGAGGATGTTACTTGCCGTCGCGCCGGTGGTGAACGTCTTCCCCTTCCACACCCCTCCTTCACCGCCGCCGCTTCCGTCCTCGAGCCCCAACACGTCAGCAAGCATCCCCAACGCAACGCTCTCCACCTCCGTAGCGACGGTCTGCTCCGGTAAATGCACCTGCACATTCTGATCCAGCGCCGAGACGATATTGTCAGCCGCCTCGGCGACGGGGAGGGTCCCGCCGGTGACGAAGCCGTAGTACCGTCCGCTGCGCGCCTGGCCGTTGAGGGCGGGGACGATGTCCGTCAGGATGTGGGTTAGGGTTGCTTCGGTGCCGAGGGGGGCGAGGTAGGTTCCATCATTGTCTTTCTCCTCTCCCTTTGCGCTGGCACCGGTGCTGGCACCCGTGCTGTGAGATGATGGTCGGCGGGGTAGAGAAGCCGATGCGGCGGCGAGGGAGGCCCGGGATGGAAGTGTGGGGGGGTCGGACCCGTCTGGGATGGCGGCGCGGAGCCGGGCTTGGAAGGACGGGGATGTCATATTTTTGTGTGGTGAGCTTGGTCGGGGTAAAGTGTGTGGGGGATCCGGGGTTGAGGGTAAGTAAGTTTTTTTAGAAAACCTCGAAGTAGCTACAAGAAATGTAAATCAACAGCTAAAGTATGGCCTATCAATGGTTTGTAGGTCATGCAACGAGAAATCGTATTTTCGAGCTAAGAAGTGTAAGGTACAGACAGCTTGGCGCGCACCCGGCGAGGTTTTTGTGGCTTCCCGGGATTTGACTCATCGCCCCGTTGCAGCGTTTGAATCCTCGGCCTCGGCCTTGCGTCCTTTAGCGGAACTTTTGAGAGATTTCGGTGAAATCCTACCGGAATCTCACGGAAGAGCGATATACTCGGAACTACGGCATAAGGTCTAGTGTGGAGTCGACAGGAGACCGCCGCCGCAAGGGTTCCGATCTCGGCACATCGTCCCATCGGGTCGGCGCAACCCCGTCGAGTCTCGGCCGTGTCCTTTTCGGCCTCGGTCAGTTTCCCCGCGGGGGGCTAGATAGCAAGGGTCTTTCTTCGCATAAAGAAAGCTACGTCGGTGGGCGTAACTCAAATAGCACAAAGAACAGATGACACACAAAGTCAAAACGATATCAAAACACAAAAAGAACGAATTTGGTATACGCGTGCAGGGAAGAACCCTCCGCAGGTCATGGTAGTCTAGAAACGAGCAAATCGTGGCATGCGAAAAATTTCGGACATCGTCTCGAATCGATAGTTTTATCTTACAAAAAAACGAAGAAGAGCAAAAGAGAAGCATGTATTTACAAGAAGAATCAAGACCTCGCGACACCCTCCTATAGGCCTTTTCACATGTGCCGCGCGCTTAGACTGGCAAACGCGTCTGGGCTGTGTCGCCCGTTCGTCCACTGCATATCCGTAAATGCCATGCTCTCGCGACTGACACCCGCCTTGCGCGGCCCGACGGTATTGGCTACGGGAGCCGCCATCACCTGTTGTGGTGGCGGCGGCGGCGATGACATGCCTCCACCGCCGCCGCCATTCATCAAAAAGGGGTTCTTGCTTCCTGCTACCATGGACCCACTCGCTGCGTCTTGGCTCTGTTGCTGAGATGCTGCGACTTCGGGGTGTACCTCTGGCGTCTGCGCCTGGGTCTGGGGTGCAAAGGGCTGAGGTGCCAGCTGCGGTTGGCTGTACAGTGCCAAGATCGAAGCCTTGTCGGGACGTTGAGGTTGCAAGGGCTGCTGTTGATACTGAGCCTGTGCCGTAGGAGCCTGATATTGTTGCTGCGGCATCTTCTGTTGCTGAAACGGGTGTTGCGGCTGCTGCTGGAACGGCTGCTGAGCCAATTGCTGAGCCGGTTGCTGGTAAGCGTTTTGTTGCTGCTGCTGATAGGGGTTCTGTTGCTGCTGCCCAAACGCCGGCTGCTCTTGCTGAAATGGTTGCTGGTACATCTGCTGCTGTGGTACCTGCTGTTGCCCCGTAGGTTGCGAGCCTAGTTGTGCAAAGAAGGGGTTGCTGCTCTGTGGTGTCATCGTCTGCGGAGAGTCCATGTAAAAGTTCGATTGCGACTGCTCGGGTATCTGGCCTAGCGAAGGCGATTGGATTCTTGTCGGAGATCGAGTAAACGGGTTGTTCGCATATGGGCTTGACGATTGCCCTGTGTTGACTGCAAGGTTTTGTTGCTGCTGAGGCTGCGCCTGGTTCGTGAGGAATGGGTTGTAGCCCGTTGCCTGCGGCTGGATGGGTTGGGGATAGGTCATATTACTATTAAAGCTCATGGGGTTGTAGTTTTGCTGCTGATGCTGCTGCGGAATGGGAGGCGTCATGGACTGCTGGTACGTTTGCTGAGGCTGAGCAAACGGCTGGGAAGCCGGCAATCCGCCCGTGTGGTGCGGAAATAGGGGTTGCGCTGGAGCGAGGGACATGCTGCCGAAAGCCTGGGCGATATCTTGCTGCTGTTGCGTGGGAGCTCCGAAGGGGTTGTTCGCGTAGGGGTTTTTGTTCTGGAGCGTGCCGGTCGATTGGGAAGATTGCGGCTGCGGCGGCAGCATGTCGAAGGGGTTGTTGCTCGAGGCTGTCGAGGGCGACTGGGGGTGATCACTGAACGTCTGATGCGGTGCAGATAATCCACTAGACGTTGACAGGTTCGCGTGCGAGCGTGTCGCGCGCAAAGAGCTCTCACGAGGCCCTGTCAAAGAAGGTGACCGTCTATCGCTCTCGCCTAACCGCACCAGTGTCTCAATTGCGCGCTCCAGGTTTCCGTTCACGCCCTTCAACACCATAGCATTGCGCTGGCCATCGGAGAATCCCATGTCCCTCAGACTGGCCAATTTCCTTTCTGTATCTTCCTGCTCGTACGAAACGCTTGCGCCAAACACCTTGGAGGGCTTGTTCGGCAGATCGCTGGGCGAGGGACTTCGCGGCTCGCGGGGACTCGACATGGTATTACGCAATGACGAATCCTTTCTCAGCCGAGACGATAGCGGGAAGATTGACGAGGCAGATCTGAACCCAAACTTTCCTCCCGACTTTGGTGGTAGCGGCGGAGGAACGCCTTCATCTGAAAGGCCCGAATGTTGCTTCCTCGTGGGGATGGGGATGTTGTTCATGTATTTGGTGCGGATAAATCGTTCCATGGCGGAATCAGCTTCGTCGGCATCGACAGGAACGGGAGGTCTCTTGTTATCGGGGTTGTAAATCTGGTTGGACCTAACGTTTCCGACCTTTTTCATATTCTGCGAAGGTTTGGTCAGGGGCGACGAATCTCGACATGGGGTATGCATTTGCACAAACCTCCACTTGTTCATTAGACCAGCTGTCCATGCTCAAGGATTTCACCTTTGAGATATGAGTTCCCAACTTTCGATGGATAGCGGCACATCTCATGCAAAGGAACACGCCCAGCTATAGTCGCACGTCAGTCTCGCTCGTCAAAGTGACCGCCCCAATCGAATGAGAATCGTATCGATGGGGGCGCATGAGGGGGAATAGTCGCGCTTACACTCCAAGAGGCCCATGCTGCGAACTACTGTCAGTTTTTGGCCCACGGTCTGAGCGGCGGGAGAGGGAGCACAGTTGCACTTACCTGGGTTCCGCGCCTGGCAGTCGGCGCACAAGTTGTTCCCCGGTACGGACTGGACCAGATCGTGAAGGACCTTTTCGTTACGCGCCTGCTGGCGCTTGCTCAGGACACCTGCCATGGTCGGGTAGGGTACTGTGTGCAACGGTCGACGTTGGCGGCAGCGTGTGTCGTCGGGGCGCGGTTTGGTGGTTTGGCGGTTTCGTAGGAAACAAGTTTGGGTTGGACAAGGCGCGGGTCGTCCAGATCGGAAGGCAGATCGAGGGGTTCTCTTCGGGCCAACCAGGGGCGGGCGGCGGCAGGTAATTGGGCGGAAAGATGGGTTTTAGGAAGGGGTATTAAGAAACAAGGTGTACCATGAAAATTATGCACTGGGGAAGAGGGAGCCCGATGTCGAAGGTGGAAAGGGAAACGCGACGACAAACATGGCCTCAATCATGCGTAGAGGAGGCTGAGGAAGACGGACACCAGCGTCGGAGAGTGAGACGGAATGAATGGGATTGCTGATGGCGGCGGACCAGGCTGCATCCGAGAAGGGAGCAAGAAGAAATGGCCGTTTGTCGACTTTGGGATCGAATTGTTTTAGATGGCCTCGGCGGCGCAATGGAGCAACAAAAGAATGCCCTCAGCAATCAAAGACGATGGGATGCTCCACATGTGCTGCCCAAAATGATGTGTGTGTGTCTTGGTAAGACCTTGTGAGCCTTTTCGTAAGTAGTGCGCGACTCAGGAAAAAAGGAGAGACGATCAACCTGCAAAGAAGCACCGGATGGCATACAGGTGCAAGCAGCAAGCAGCAAGCCCAGCAGCAAGAGGGGAAAGAAAGGCCCAGAGGTGGAGGGAGTCGGCCGTCTAGCCCAAAGAGGATAGTGCCAATGGACCTTGGGCTTGTGGAGGGGGGGCTCAGGGGCGCAGGCTAGGTGGTGATGGGTCTGGACAAAGAAGCCTTCCACTTCCTACGTAGTCATCCTGTGGGAGGCGGGAGAGACTGGGAGAGTGAGCGGCGAAGGAAAACAAATAAAAATAAATAATATCACAATAATATCAGAGGGGTCGGTGCTGGTCCCTGGTGCTGGGTGCTGGGTGCTGGGTGGTACTTGGTTGGACTGGCATCGTGGGAGGAACGCGTGGAAGTGGGTTCGGGGCCCCTCCACGCTCGGCTATCCGCGAATTACGGCCCCGGCTCACCTCCCGTCGTCATCTTGGGCCATTGGTTCCCGTCACGGGCCAGTGAAGCCCAGCCTGCTCAGAAGGGCCCGACATTGATCCGGTGGTGCCGCGGGTCCGGGTGCTGCCGAGCGCAATGTACGTACCTACTACGTAGATACTCATGGCACGCCCGACGATATCACACAGCTTTGATGCGCCTATTGAATAGGAGAGGCCGTCTGTGAACTTGAAAGTCTTTCTTTTTGCTGCTGTCATTTACACTTTGTCGATTGATCAACTCGGTCAACTGCACCTGCTCGAGTGCCACTCGCTGATCCCGTTTCCAACGCTGTGGTGCTGCTGCCAGATCGTAGCGATCGTTTCAGCTGCTGCACGTCGCCTTGTGCCACCGGCTCATAACGGCTATTAGGTAGCATGAGATGCTGTCTGACCTCATCCCTCGCCTTGACAGTTTTCGTATCGAGACTCGTCTGCCGATGCCTCTGCCTATGTGCTTCGCTCTTCTCCCTCGGCCTACGGATGCCTCACCTATTCAGGATTCATACCCATACTGTGCCAACGCAATACCATCAAGGGTAGGTAGTCAGCATGGCAGACTGATAGCTATCCGACGAGGCCGAGCCAGGGTGGTTCGGGGATGCCACTGTGTATTATTGTGTCTGGTAGATGAAGTGCGGCTCACCCGGCCAATCAGCTCAAGTCAGCAGATGCTCATCCGCGATTGCCGACCTGCCGCCATTCTCTAATTCAAGGTCCTCAGCTCGCAGCTCGGGGTCTATCATGCGACCGTTTCAACGCTCTGTTCTTGCGCAATATGACGTCGGGTTGTGACTGCAAGAAACTTCCGTGGCGGTGGGATACGAAAAGTCGGTTCTGCACATGTTCTGCGTACCCAGTGACCCAGAACTTGGGAGGTGATTTTGGATATCATAGGAGTTACGACAATTTCCTGTTGTTCTGAGCTATTTTGAATCGTAAATTTCGGCTCCCCTGCATGGCAATCTCGGGTTGGTCGATAAGGCTGAGAATCCGAGCGATTAACGGGCGGAAAGATGGCTCTGCTATTCTAAGGTACGTTGTGCGGGCGTTGGACTTACACCTAGGCAGAGGATTCGTTCGGAATAGGCTATGTTATCCGTAGCTAGTATACTTACACACATACGCGGGTTGCCGTATCGCATCGTGTCTGTTACGTTGGCTACCGCTTGGTGTATACTTTGTACGGAGCGTCCGCCTATTGGTACTTGATCTACCTACAGAAAAATTACCTAGCTCCCAGCTGGCACATGCTTGACATACATTCAAGTTCCATCAGGTTTGCCTTACCAGCACAACGGTCCCCCGCCGCATTGGTTAGCGTAAAACAGCCCAGCCACAACGTCGGGACTCTCGTCCTCCACCGACCGGGCACCTGCCACTCTGCTTTCGCCCGCGCGGCCGTCCGCGGCTTACTTGTAACTTGGCATGCCGGCACAACCGCACAGCCCGTTTGTTGTCAGGGCCAGCCAGTCACAAGCCTCGCTGTCTTTTTCCGAATGACGTCCCGCCCCCAACCAACCGTTCGGCGGCCAGGGTATACCTGAATTCGCGCGCCTGTGAAAAGTCGTGGTGGTGCGGGTGAGGTGCGAGGTACGAGGTACGATGTGTGGCTGGGTAGTCTTGGGACGTGGGCCACTGAGTGAGTTGTCCAAAAAAGACATCTCACCCCAATAAGGTACCTAGTTGCCCGTGCTGGTGGGCCATGTCCGCGGTGCTCTCAGGCCCGTTCCGCGTACTTTATGTACCCGTACTCCGTACACGACCTTATTAGGCCCGTACCTGGGGGGGAGCTCACCCACTTTGACATGCTGCAGCAGCTCTACCTACCTACCTCTGACCAGGGTGACATTTGTTTCTCCCGCAGCACCCATCTCTCTTCTCTCCCTCTCATCCCATTGAATTATTTCCAAATCTCCTTTGCCATCCACACCATGCCCCTTCAATAACCTTGCGACCTGCACTGGAACGAGAACGTAATCGGGCACTCAATTTCGAATTCCTTTGCGAAAACCAACCCACAGCTCAAGCTCCTATTCCAACCCGCAAAAATGGCGGGCATTGAGCAGTTGGAGATCCATAGCAAGGTACGTGAGTCGTCACTGTCCCCGGCCTTCCCCTTCCCCCTCCGCCAACGCCCTTGACCACAGGCAGCGGCGCATCTTCATGCTTCTCCTCTCGATGCTGATAGCTTTCTCCAAATAGTCCTACATCGTGCGATGGGTCAAAGTCGACGAAGGCCACACAATATCTTGGAGCGTCCAACCACACAAAAAGTCCATGTGCGTACCTCAATCCCTTACCCCCCCCCCCCCCCTTCTACATCTCTCCTCTTCTGCGTCTCCAATTCCGACACGTGCTTATCAGTCGCCGAGGCAGTAACTTTGGAATCGTGAAGCACCCCGGAGCTGGCGCCGCCGGCCTCATTACGAATCAGAACGACGATGCCGCCGCCCCCGGATCTTTTACCTCTGGCGTCGCCGAGCCCAAGAAACCATTTGCTAGGAGGGATTCGAGCACAGCCGAAGAGCAGCTCGCCAACAAGGGATTCATACCCATAAAATGGCATGGGAAATGCGATGCGGATAAGGTATCGACCGGTACGTGGGATGTGCCAAAGGGCCAGGGCGGCATGTTCGGCTTGGTGTTCGACAACACCTTTTCGAAGCAGATCTCCAAGACGGCTACCTTCGTCCTCCTCACCTACCCGACTGGTGCACCGCCTCAGACTACAGCCCAGAACTTCCCGAACTTGCAGGCCGGAGCGAATGCGAACACCAGCAAGACGAGTTTGCCTCAGATGAGCGCCGTCACATCTGCCTCTCAAGACAGCCTCCACAGCCACGTTGCCGCGGGACGTCCGACGTCAGCCTCCGGCCGCAGCGATGGAAATGCCAACTACCATACAGGAATTCTGCACAAGAGACGGAGGAAGAAGGGCCAGGGTTATGCGCGCAGATTCTTCTCGCTGGATTATTCCTCCTGCACCCTCTCGTATTACTACAACCGCAACTCGTCTGCCCTCCGCGGTGCCATTCCTCTTAGCCTTGCTGCCATCGCAGCCGATGAGCGCCGTAGGGAAATTAACATTGACTCGGGCGCCGAGATCTGGCATCTGCGAGCGTCCAACGCCAAGGAATTCAACGATTGGGCCAAGGCCTTGGAGAAGGCGAGTCGTGCGGCGAGGGGCGTGGAGGAGCAGCAACCCAACACACTCAACCCCAGAACAACGCCGCTGAGGGTCAACACGACACATTTGAAGCCTACGCAGTCAAGCTTGGAGGAAGATCGCGAATGGCAGCAGGTCGAGACCCTAGTGAGTCGCATGGTCGGCACCAGGGACGCTCTTCGTCGCCTGGTCAAGGACATGTCAAACCAAAGGCCTCTTAGCATGGCTGCTTCGACATTCTTGTCACCAGGCACCTTGGGTGAGGAACCGGACAGCTACTTCACACCTCCCACAGCGACAGAACAGCCGCAAAGGCGCCCATTCTGGAAGCGCAAGTCAAGTAACGCTACACCGACAGCATCCACGCCCCAAGCGCATCATGCCGCCGCCGCTGCTGCTCTTGCTGTTCCTTCTCCGGGTACTGTCACGACAACTATCAGTGCAAATGGACCCCGCCACTCAAAGTCAAAGTCAAAATCGTCTGTCCATGAAGAAAAGAGCACACAAGAGCATTGTGCGGCACTCCTCAACGATCTCGATTCCGTTGTGTCTGAGTTTACAACCTTGATTGTGAACAGCAAGCGCCGACGATCTCCCGCTCCACTTTCTGCAGCACCCTCTAGAAGAAGTATGGAGACAGTGTCGACGGAAGAGTTCTTCGACGCAGAAGCCGGTGAGACAAGCTCGCAGATCGTCAGGATTGCCCAGAGCGAAGATGAAAGCCCAGACTCGGAGGCGGATGAACGTTTGAGTGACTCTTCCTCCATCTCTTCGGCCCAGGAGGATGAGGCTATAGGCTCCGAGGACACCGATTGCTACCCAGCGAAGCCCAAGAGCTTGTCGCCGTTGCCGGTGGATATCTCCGTTGAGAGACGAACCAAGGTTCCGCCGGCTTTGGTGCAGCCTCCTAGTCTGATTGCATTTGTGCGGAAGAATGTTGGCAAGGATCTTAGCACGATCAGTATGCCCGTATCCGCGAACGAACCTATCTCACTACTTCAGCGCGTTGCAGAACAGCTGGAATACGCCCAGCTGCTTGACCAAGCTGCTCAGCAGAAGGAGGCCAAGGAACGTCTCCTATACATTACGGCATTCGCAGTGTCGCAATTCAGCACTGGCCGCGCAAAGGAACGCGCTATTCGGAAACCCTTCAACCCCCTTCTGGGCGAGACATATGAAATGCTGCGAACCGAGCAGGAAGTACCCGGAGGTTTCCGGTTGCTGGTTGAAAAGGTTTGCCATCGTCCCGTCAGACTCGCCATGCAGGCCGACTCTGCCAGCTGGTCCTTCAGCCAGTCCCCCGCGCCGTCGCAGAAGTTCTGGGGCAAGAGTGCCGAAATTACTACGGAAGGCCGCGTTCGTGTCGCGCTTCGACTCCCAGATGGCACGGACGAGCTGTATTCCTGGACGCATGCCACAATGTTCTTGCGCAACGTGGTAATGGGAGAAAAGTACGTGGAGCCGGTTGGTGTCATGCAGATCTGTAACGATTCTTCTGGAGCCAAGGCCTCGGTCGAGTTTAGGAGCAAGGGAATGTTTGGCGGGCGAGGCGAAGATGTTCAGGTTGAGACATATGGACCGGACGGGGTACACACCGGCAGCAGCCTCTCCGGCACGTGGACCAACGGCCTCCGCGTCGTCGAAGCCGGCAAAGGGGCGGGCCGGGAGATCTGGAGCGTCGGCAAGCTCGTTGACAATGCGGCCAATACCTACGGAATGACCACTTTCGCCGCGGCCCTCAACGAGGTGACGGAGATTGAGAAGGGCAGGCTACCCCCGACAGACAGCCGACTCCGACCGGACCAGCGTCTGGCCGAGAAGGGCGATCTCGACCAGGCTGAGGAGTGGAAGGTGAAGCTGGAGGAGGCGCAGCGCGCCCGGCGTCGGGTGCTGGAGGAGAAGGGCGAGGAGCATAAGCCCAAGTGGTTTGTCAAGGTCGGTCAGGGCCCGGAGGGCGAGGAGGTGTGGAAGCTGAGGACGGGTAAGGACTCATATTGGGAGGAGAGGTCCAAGGGGACGTGGAACGGGTTGGAGGAGATTTTTGCTGGGTAGAGACGGATGGCGAGGCTCATGGTGTTTTAGAAAGTGAAGCGCAGAAGCGGCTCCCAGGCGTTTTCGGGCGGGTTGTTCAGCCCTACCCCTTCACTTCCCTCCTATTCGAGTTCTTCTTCTGGATTATGATGGTGATTTTTTCATTCAAGAGGTGGTCGACGATAGCGCGTTGGCGAGCGAAGATGATAAGAAAACTGTTTTGGGTGCTTGAAGCTTAATCCCGTTGCATGAGTTCTTCTACGTGATTGGTGCCACCGTTTTCCCAATCTCCTTCTCGGATGCCCGGTTTCGATCATGTGCGGGACGACTCCTATACAATGGTTTGATATTCGGTCTGCGTGAGGCATCGAGGTCTCCTCAGGTGATGAGATGGAGAACCAGCAGAGTTGGGCCTGAGCCTAGCGTCGGTGCAAACTTTGAAAAGGGCTGCAGAGAGGGAGGCTACAACAGATCGGAGTCGATTCCGTAAGGTCTTGGTAAGGGAGGGGA